TGGTACCTCCTGCTGGACAGAGCTCCACTGACCTCCTCCACACACATCTTCCTCAGGCTCATCCTCCCGACCCACAACTTCACCAGCACAGATGCAGATGTTCAGCACAGTGCATGCTGACCTGTAATAGATTAAATAAGAGTTTGGTTTTTTATAGAAAAATGTAAAACAAAACATAACCTGCAGTACACTGGTTCTGTTCAGTTTAAAGAAAAGCAGCAGGGAAAACTACAGAGAATTTACATTTTTAAGATAGATCTAATCATTATTAGGCTTAAGTTGAATAAACAAATGCACATTGAAAACACTTCAATGCTATTTTATTAAAAAGCCTGTTTTTTAAAACGTTTTACCCTCATTTGATGCAAAATAAGTTCTAAGGTCCAATTTACATTAGAAAACATCCTACTGCATTCAACATTTATAATGCATTTGGTTTATATGAATTACCTACATGATAATACCCTGTAGAAATGTGTTGTGTACGTTTAACAAGTTCATTCTGTAGCGTAAAACATACATGAAACCATCTAAAGTTAACATGTAAGTCCTGAAAGCTTCTAGAATAAACAAAGTTACTTTACCTGAAAACATTTGTGAACAAACGCTGCTGATGGACATGAAGCTGCTGCAGCTCCTTAATATTCCTGCTCCATTTTCGAATTCAGCTGAATTCGGACAGTCTAGCCTTCACCTCTACGGTGGCCCGTAGGTCCCGTCACAGCCGTGGCGGCAGCTACACACAAAGTAAAAATGCTAAAGCTAGAGAAAATGGAGCAGGAATATTAAGGAGCTACAGCAGCTTCACGTCCATCAGCAGCGTTTGTTCACAAATGTTTTCAGGTAAAGTAACTTTGTTTATTCTAGAAGCTTTCAGGACTTACATGTTAACTTTAGATGGTTTCATGTATGTTTTAAGCTACAGAATGAACTTGTTAAACATACACAACACATTTCTACAGAGTATTATCATGTAGGTAGTTAATATAAACCAAATGCATTATAAATGTTGAATGCAGTAGGATGTTTTCTAATGTAAACTGGACCTTAGAACTTATTTTGCATCAAATGAGGGTAAAACGTTTTAAAAAACAGGCTTTTTAATAAAATAGCATTGAACTGTTTTCAATGTGCACTTGTTTATTCAACTTAAGCCTAATAATGATTAGATCTGTCTTAAAAATGTAAATTCTTTGTAGTTTTTATTTAACTATTCCCTGCTGCTTTTCTTCAAACTGAACAGAACCAGTGTACTGCAGGTTATGTTTTGTTTTACATTTTTCTATAAAAAACCAAACTCTTATTTAATCTATTACAGGTCAGCATGCACTGTGCTGCACATCTGCATTGGTGCTGGTGAAGTTGTGGGTCGGGAGGATGAGCCTGAGGAAGATGTGTGTGGAGGTCAGAGGTGCTCTGTCCTGCAGGAGGTACCAGCAGACCACCACTACTGTTAACAGGCAAGTCATTCACAGAGATGTAACAGCCGTCGTCTGAGCCAGCCCAGCGGTCCCTGTAGATGGACGATGGAGTGGACAGTGAGAGGAAGTGTCCCAAAGCTCTCTCTGCAGACCGTCCTGTATGATGTTCCTCTGGCCAGAAACTTTCAGCCACAGGTCTGCTCCAGCCCTCCATCCACGTCTGGATCCTCCTGCAGCAGATCCAGCTGCACTGTTAAAGACTTCCTGCTCACTCAGTTTAAATAAATGATCCAGGAAGAGTCACTCAGGTTAATCCTGCTTTAACCGTACATAACTGGTCCATACTGGTTTTGATCTGTAAATAAGTGTAACGTATTATAAATAATCTTGTCTCCTTACCATCTTTTCATTTTCTGTTCATGTAACATGTTCAAAAACATCTGTAATAATAAAACTGGTGATAAAATCAATGACCAGAAAGAGTTATCAGTTAGTATTTGTTTTAATAAATGTGTTCAAATATCAAACAGCTAAATAACATTAACATGATGACAGTAGAAGGCCTCTCTCCCAGGACAGGTAAAGCCTCTTCTGACCCTGGACACCTGCAGTCCTACAGAGAAAATCAGAGACCACAGGTGACAAAAAGGCAATAAACACATTTTTACATTCATCCACACGAGAAGATAAAACTGTTATTCTTCACACAAACTTTTTACTTCATTAAAACGTGTCAGCTGTGTAAATCCCCGAATGTAAAACTACTTTTCACAGAAGAACTTCTGTGGTTGTGTGTAAACAGCTTCACTCTTCACCTCTAAGCTTAATAAAAACGCTTCTTTGCTCCGTTGTCCTTAAAACAAATGACAAGTTTAATTCGCCACACACACGCACGCACGCACGCACACACACACACACACACACACACACACACAGGAATAACTGGGACCCGCGATACAAACTCGTTCTGGCTGATTTCTGCCTAAAATGTAATTTAAAGAACAAAATACAAACAAAAAATGTCTATAAACTGAACCGCTTTAAGCTTTTTAGAATTCTACGGCTAGTTTTTAACAAACTTACGTTTAAAACTTCGTAGCTCTCCTCATTTTCTCTGCCTGTTGAAAATCCACAGCCGGCGCGCAAAGCATGCTGGGATATGATAGCCTTGTTCTGTGAGGAGACGAAGCGGTTAGCTAACGCTTCACAATGCAACAAAATGATGACATTTCACCAACTTACCGGAGAAAATCCTTCCGAAACACCGAATAGTTGAAATGAACTGCAGTCAATGCAGCAGCGGGGCTGTTTGGAACTATTCGAAACTACATGAACCACGTGACTTCCCCATTCCATAGGAGTCTTGGAGTGTCGTAACTCTTTACAGCTCTGACAAAACCCTGCCCTCCTCTCCCAGTGATTGGACAGGAATTCGAGAAACGTGATTGGTAGCTAAGAGTCGTGCTCTCATTGGTTCCACCCAAGTTCCTCCCACTGGCGCTAGAATCGAGACAAAATGATCCGTAACATTGTAGGATGTGAGGTTTGTACCTGTAGAATGAAATGTGTGTTTTGTGAGTTTTGATTTGAAACTTGTACTTTGATTTTTTCAATTTGGAAGTCTGCTAGTTACAAAACAAAAGTTTCATGTTTCTGAATGAATGTTTGCTTTTACAAAATAAAAAATACATGTACAAAATACAATGTTCCTGTTACAAAACAAGAATACAAGTACGACTTGAGAATTACAAGTTACAAATCCAAAGTTACAAGTTACAAATCCAAAGTTACATGTGATGAAACATGTTTGCAGTTACAAAACTTGGTACAAGTTACGCTGAATATTGTCCCAATTCCAGTTCCATACTTTTACAAAATAAAAAATACATGTACAAAATACAATGTTCCTGTTACAAAACAAGAGTACAAGTACGAATTGAGAATTACAAGTTACGAATCCAAAGTTACAAGTTACGAATCCAAAGTTACAAGTTACGAATCCAAAGTTACAAGTTACGAATCCAAAGTTACATGTGATGAAACATGTTTGCAGTTACAAAACGTGGTACAAGTTACGCTGAATATTGTCCCAATTCTAGTTCCACACAGTAGGGGTTAAATAACCTGCTGCAGCTGAAAGATAATCACCCATGCAGCAGTTATCCAACAGGAGGTTCCAGCTTATTTGCTTAGTTAAATTCAGATGGTGACTCTTTTTGGATTTAGACAAAATGCGTTGTTTGTCACATAAGTACACGGTGACAATGTCATCACAAAGAGGCCTGTGATCCTGGTACACAATGCTCTTTTACCACCTATTCATTTGCATACTGTTAGAATTCAGCTTGGAGTATTTATGTATAGTTTCAACTCCCAAAATCCCAGGGCAACAAGCTTTTTGTTAGATTAGCATAACACGGAGAACTTAGAGTAAATCTAACCAGTCTTGTAAATAGTAGGACACAACAAACAGAAGAAAAGAGACTAAATGGGAAAAAGTAACTAAACTAGGTGACATAACTAGAATACACACAAAAATTGGACAGGTGCACAGATGTGATACCGCTAATAAACTAGCATGATGCTCTTGTGATCTTCACTTCAGATCTTCAGTTTTTATCACTCCAACAAAAATCAAATCAACCTCCAGTGGTGATTCATCACTGTTTAGCCTCATCACAATGCAAAAGAAAACCATGAAATCTTTTCCACTAGAAAGCACTGAGCAGTGTACTGAGACGAATGGTAGTTCTTATTTTATGGTGTTGTATAGAAGCTAGCATGTAGCATTGACAGCATCAACACTGGCAAGGTTTAATGCCTTGTTTGGTCACGGTAAAACACTAAATCTCCTAACACGTGAGAAATATTTTGTAAGAGATGCAGCTGTCATATTCTGACACTTAAATGCTAAAAGCTTTTGCTTTGCGGCTCACAGTTCTCAGCATTACCTTTATTTCTGCAAAAACTGACCAAACGCTACGTTGTTCACTCAGCTTGGCTAAGCTCTGAGGAGACAGCTGTAGCCCAGAGTAGGTGAGAGGGACTCAAAGCTAAAATGTAAATGGACTAAAGAGGAAATATTGTGTTGTCCATTTTTGTCAATATTTTAGTTGCACAAATGAATGTTACTCTTGGGCAACTGTTTCAGTGGGAATTAATAACCGTGACTGCATCATTTTCACGAAACTATCTGTGGCTGATGTCCTTAATCTATTAGACCAATAAAAAAAAAGCCTTTAGGTCCCTGGGGACTTTTTAAAAATGTTTTAAAATGTAGTTATTCTGAAATTTGACCAACTTTACTTGTGCTTCGGAGAGCCGGGTGTCATTTCTATGTGATATCAAGCATTAACGTGGGTCACATTTTATGGTTTTCAACTGTATCAACCACAAAACTTCTGAAATAACCCGTAGTAATGTTTCCAGTCCCTTGGGACCAGCAGATGTTTGGTAGAACTGTATTATGGGCTGTGCTTAAATCGGATGCTCTCTGATGCGTCTCTGAAGCTAAGGCAAAAAGTTCTTCTCTGCATCATCTCAACATTTCTTAAGTAGGATTAAATTAGCCAAACTCACCCATTCTTTTTGCTAGCAACTGAAAGATGAAGTGTTTCCTTTGGAATTCATAGTAAAAGTGTGTGGTTCTTGCGTTGCGTCCCTCTGCTCTCTTTCATTGGCTGGCCTAGTCTTGATCCCTCTTTGCGTCTCGTCTTAGAGACCAGCTCTTACAACCACCGCCAAAGCTTTCTGGAGTGAGACTGCTCAGAGTCTCAACCTAACTGGGCTTATGGGTTGTTCTTAAGGAGGAAAAGTCCACATCCCACTGTCACTCAAACAGGCAAGCATAGTTTTGACTGGGCTGCCATCCAAACAGACATGAAACTATTCTATTTCGGTCTGCCATATGAGCAGCGGAGCAGTTCAGAGGAGGGGGTACGACTCTGTGGTTGAGCGTGTAATTGCAGAGTGACCTGTTATGGTGAGACGTAATTGCAGGCCTCATCAGATGGAAAGAAAATGCCAACAAGACAAGGTAAAGAACTTTTAAATAATACTTTGGAAAAAATGAAGCAAAACAGACCACATGAATACAGCAGAAGCTGGGTTCCAGATGTAACAGGAAAGAATGGGAGGGGAGGAGAAGAAGAGGAGGGACGGACAGAAAATGGAGCCAGATGAAGAAAATGCCATGGCAGCAGAACAAAGTTCCACTTCTGACTCACTGAAAAGGTGTTTACCTTCCCAGGAACAGTCCCAGAGAAGGAAAGAGCGACCTGGGAAGGTGAGGGATGTCGGAAATGTGTTTGTGTTGTTCCTGGATCTTTACCATAAGTTCTCCTGGGCGTCTGGTTTCACCTCAGCCTTGAAAATGACTGCCTCATGGAAAAAGTGGGAGCTTCAAAAATGCAGGAAAGAAAACAAAAGTATAAACGACAGCCGGCTGGTTCCCATTACAGCAAAGATCAAGCTGGTCAGGGCTGCTTCAGCTCCCATTGTGTGATTCTGATGAATAATGATAATGTGATTATGTGATGTGCATGGATTCACAGGCACACCCATGTGTATAGAAAATCCCTTTATGCTATAGAGAGGTAATAAATATTAGTTCAAGCTCAAACTCTCAATGAAAGCAGCTAATTTCCTCATAAATTCATACCTAATTTCCTGGCAAAGCACACCCACCTCTTTTAAGAAAGCTTAAAAACACATATTTCTGTCTGAAGGCAACGGTCAGCTATAGGCTGTGCACACACTGGGTTTTTGTTAAACTGAACATCATCCCCCGCTCATCTAGGAAATAAACACCACCGTTTTCAGCAAAAGCTCTAGTGCATTGTGAAGCACATTCATAGGCATGCCAAGCCTGTTGGTGGCAGTAGTTCCCCAAATCTTCAACATCTTTACCAAAAGATATTTGTTAGGATAATTAAATGGTGGGAAATAACCATCATCCTTCACCTGTGGTCTTCTAAAGTTGAGCTTGTAAAAACAAGAAAGTGTGTAAACACGGGTTGCAAAACCTCTTCAAGCAAATGCTGAGAACAAATAATTTGCAAGTATCCAATTTTGTTTGAGTATTTGAAAGAATATCTTTTGGTACTGGTTTTATCCACTTCCTTGTAGATGATAGGCCACACTGTAGAAAAATACCTTTGTTTCATACCCAGCTACAGTGTACGGGGCCTCGGGTACCCAGGACACACCGGAAGCCCTGTTCAGGAAACACAAATGTTAAAGCTGCAGAACAAGATAGGTTTACAATGCTAACTCAGTCACGGAACACTCACCTCTCCTTTTGGGTATCTTGCCTGAGATGTTTCAGAAACCCTCATCGCCAGAAGAAACGTGATAGTGCGGAACACCCGTTCCTGTTTTAGAATAGAATAGAACTTTATTGTCCACTGTGGTGGAAATTCTCCTTCGGCTCTCAAGAACTAAAAACATTCATGCATATGTAACCCCTACGTTGTGGTTATGCAACACAGCAACATGGAAGGAATATCTATTCTAGGTTCAATGAGGAGTTTGTAACTTATTTACCCAAGCGATGGTTAGACATCCACCCAAATAACACACATGACAAAGAACTAGCAATAATTTAAAATGTATTGACAATGGTCACCCATAAACAACTTAAATGTCCATCAGTTTTTTTCTTTTATACACAGATAACTCAACAGTATAAGAACAAAAATTCCTCTGAGATCTCAGGAATGAAATAATATAAAACCCAATGTCCAAAAGTTCAAAATAATATGAGTGCACTCAAGCCCTACTGCCCTCTCAACTGAGTATGTCCAAAAAAAAAAAGAAAAGAAAATGGTCCGGGATGGGCAATCCAGTCTCTGTTGAAGCAGATGGCAGCAGGTGAGGCTCTCTCCAACTAACCCCTCCAAAGGAAAAACCAGCCTGTACAGATGCACAGGACAATCACTTTTCAAGTCTATACAACCCACAGTTAAATAAACATTTTTTCGTAACATTCACTATAATCAACTCACAGGAACATATTGCTTAACATGTAATAATTGCAATTTGAAATAACATTGAAAACTCCCTAAAATTAACTGAATCTCTTTAATTGTTGTTGCAACCATAGTTGTGTATTTCTGCAATTGGCAATGCAGCACAGCAGTATTTAACGTAAAGTAACAACCCATGACAAACTGGTCAATATATTTGTCCAGCTAGCCCACACGCAGTGTTTCATAATCACTTCATTGACAATAAATCACCATTTGCTACGGCAAAATACTATTCAGCACACACAAATCATTGAATATGGCTGTTCTCTCAAGTTTTTCTTATTTTAAGTTTATCCTGACTGGTTTTAGAACATAAGAGACTCATTTAGCAGGTTTAAAACATTGCTAACTCACTTAGCATGCTAACAGCATGTGAGCAAATTGTGAACTCACCAGGATAACAGGTATGAAGGGGGAAAAAAAGAAATCCAAGTTCAAGTCACAAAACTTAAGTCTTTGGTTTAGCGATCAAATAATCCAATGGATGGATGGATGGATGGATGGCTGGATGGATTCATCCAGCTTCACAAAGGTTCACCGTGCTCAGCTCAAGTTTGTCTGACTTCTGCTTTGACATCAGCTGCCGACAGACCGATAATCAAGATGGCGTCTGAGAAGCGTGTCCATCCCGAAATTAACAATGATCATCTGCTGCCCCCTTGAGGCCAAACTTGGTAGTGCTGAACTAACCTGGTTACACTCTCCCCCTCTTGATTGCATGCGTCCCTGCATGCAACTGACACGCCATATGAGTATTCAACTCAGCGGGTGAAATGGTAGCTTGCAACTGTTCAAAGAAGGAGGCAAGAGCAAGAATCAGAGGTTTTCCCAGCTCATCATAGGTGAACTTAGATGGGAGATGCCTCTGTCTTCCGGACTGCCTGGGCTCACATGGGCTGCTCACAGTGTTGCGTTCCTCTACTCTCATACCCTCAGAAGAGGCGGGATCGTGCTGCTGAGTAAATGAATGAGTCCCACTTTCACATTCGACAGGTGAGACAACTGTATCAATCTCCCCATTCTGGATCGGGTCACATCCTGGTATCTCTACAATGATATGGTCTCGTTGAACACGGTGTCGACCCTGAGAATCTATTCCTCCAGACACAACCCCATGATCTTTTGTTATCATGTCCGATGTTGGTGGCTGCTGTGCACTTGATTGTGTAGCCACGGGGTTCATCAACCTAACTGGTGGGTTTACTATCTCTTGCACAAATGGACCCCATGTTGTGAGCTGTGGGGATTCAAAGCAACGCAACTCCTCTTCTTCGTCCTCAACCTCAACTAAGACATCATGGTCCATCTGTTGAGTAATGACTCTGCTGTTTCTCAAACTCATCTTTCTGAGTTCATTTGACTGTGAGACTTGGTTTGAAGTTTCTTCCACTGGCAGAAACCCACATGGCAGTAAAAGATTTCGGTGAAGCGTACGCTGTGGACCACCACCTCTCTCTGGCTTAGCAATATAAACTGGCCCATCATCCATTCGTTTCATGACAACTTGAACAGGTTTTTCCCAACGGTCAACTAATTTCTGCTTGCCTCGTAGATTGACATTTTTCACTAGGACCCGATCTCCTTCCACCAACTCAGCAGCCCTGACTTTAGAGTCAAATCGCAGTTTGTTTTTTTCTCCAGACCTTTTAGAGTTTTCTGCAGCCAGTGTGTAACTCTCTTGCAGCCTGTGACACAGCTTTTGTACATAATCTGAATGACTCTCATGAGTTTCTGTTTGAACACCAATACCCAATCAATGGGGAGGGTTGGCTGCCTGCCAAACATTAACTCCTATGGGGAAAACCCTGTTGTATCATTTCTCGTACAATTGTACGCATGGACAAGGGGTTTGATGAACTCTCTCCATGTTTTTTTTTGTCTTTTTCCTCCAGGGTTCCGAGCATGCTCAGCAGGGTCCTGTTGAAGCGCTCAACTGGATTCCCCTGTGGATGATACAGCGTGGTGCGCACTTTCTCTGCTCCAATTAGTAAGCATAGCTCCTTGATCAATTTGGATTCAAAATCCCTCCCCTGATCGCTATGGAGGCGATTGGGGAACCCATAGTGAACGAGAAAATTTTCCCAGAGTGCTTTGGCCACAGTTTGAGCCTTCTGATCCTTTGTCGGCACAGCCACAGCAAACTTAGTAAAATGGTCAGTAATGACCAAAACATTCCTGGTGTCACGGCTGTCAGGTTCGATGGACAAGTAGTCCATGCAAACCAATTGCAGTGGAAATGTTGTTTTGATGCTAGTCATGGGAGCTGCTTTCTGTGGCTGAGCTTTCCTCCTAAAATGTCTCTCACAGGTTTGACATTTGCTCTCAATAGATTATTTCATCCGTGGCCAATAAAATCTTGCTCTGGATAGACTGAGCACACGTTCTGGTCCCAAATGGCCAATTTCATCATGTAACCCATGCAGAGCTTTCTCCCTGTACTGCTTGGGCAACACAAGCTGATAGGTCGTACCACCCCTGTCAAAACACCTTCTATACAGAATTCCATCCTTGATCTCAAGTCGGTTCCACTGTCTGATTAACAGCTTGACTTCGGGGTGTTCAGCTTTTGCAGCTTTAAAGCTGGGCCTCTGTGCACTTTCCACCATCGAGATTACCCTTTGGATTGACGGGTCTTCTCTTTGTGCTTTACGCCAACAGTCTTGGGTCATTCCAGGAAGGGTAGTTTGACCCTGGTCCACAAACAAAGCTGGTAAACAGGAAGCATCCACAGCAAGGGACTCTGCAAAAGCAGGAAGGTGCAGGAAGGACACAGAGTGATGTTGACTTACTGCTGTGATCACATCCATGGGAATTTCTTGTTTGTTCCCCTCTTTAAGGCGCTTTGTCATCTCATCAATTCTCTCCCTTTCTTGAAGGAAGTCTTCGTCTTCAAGAAGTGCAGCATGTGGCCGACGAGACAGTCCATCTGCATCCTGATTGGTTGCTCCTGCCCTATATTTGATGTCAAATCTGAAAGTTGACAGGGCAGCCAACCAGCGATGTCCCGCAGCATCCAGCTTAGCTGAAGTGAGTATATACGTAAGTGGATTATTGTCTGTCAAAACTGTGAAATGCACACCGTAGAGGTAATCTTTAAACCTTTCACAAATAGCCCACTTCAAGGCTAAGAACTCTAGCTTGTGAGTTGGATAATTTTGCTCACTCTTGGACAAGCCTCTGCTAGCATAGGCTATCACTCGAAGCTTCCCATCCTGCTGTTGGTAGAGGGCTGCCCCCAAACCACTAGCACAAGCATCTGTGTGGAGCACATATGGGAGCTTTGGATCTGCAAAAGCAAGGATAGGGGCTGATGTTAGTTTGTCAATGAGCGTTTGGAAAGCAGACTCACATTCAGATGTCCATTGTGCACCAAAGGGGACTCGAATATTTACAGGATGCTTGGGCCTTGCCTTTTTATAGGATTTACCTATTTTTGCAGGTGGAACATATCCAGCAGTGAGTGAATTGAGTGGTCTGGCAATCTTTGAATAGCCTTCCACAAAACGCCTGTAATATCCAGTGAAACCTAAGAAACGTTTCAGCTCTTCTTGGTTCACAGGTTGAGGCCAATCTTTGAGTGCAGATATTTTTTCTGAGTCAGTGTGGACCCCTTGTGCATCCACCACATGGCCTAGATATCTCACAGATGACTTGGAAAAACTGACACTTTTCAGGCGCTAGTTTAAGGCCATAGTCTTTTAGACGTGTTAAAACTTTCATGAGTCTGTGCTCATGCTCTTCAAGGGTCTCTGAAAAAACAATGAGATCATCTAAGAACACAGAACCTCACTGAGATGAAGGTCACAACACACCTCTCCATAAGGCACTGGAAAGTGCTAGGTGCATTGGTCACACCTTGTGGCATGCGGTTGAACTCGTAGAAGCCCAAAGGACATGTGAAGGCTGTCTTGGCTTTATCCTGCTCAGCCATCTCCACCTGGTAGTACCCAGATTTGAGATCCATCACTGAGAACCACCGTGCTCCACTCAGGGCTGAGGATGTTTCCGCAATGTTAGGAAGGGCATACACGACTTTTATAGTGCGACTGTTTAATTTCCTATAATCGATACATAGCCTGATCTTTCCATTCTTCTTCTTTACTACCACCACTGGAGATGCAAAAGGGCTCTCGGACTCTCTTATTATTCCAACATCTAAGAGCTCTCTAAGGTGCTGTTTAACAGCCTCCCTGTCACTGGGGTGTATTGGTCTTGATCTCTCTTTAAAAGGATTCTCATCCTGCAACCGGATTTGGTGCTTCACAACAGTTGTATGACCAAAAGAGAGATCATCAAAAGCAAACACTTCCGGAATGGAATTCAGCTTTTTTGAAGCTCGCTGTTTCCACTCCTCAGTCAAAGGGGAATCATCGAAGTTGAATGCAAACCTTTTACAGGGCATGCAAGAATCGTTAGGCACAGATGAGGCAGAGTTTAAAGGTGTTATAGACTGGACCACAGACACTTCGCCAATGGCACACTTTTGAGGTAATGTGATGTCGTGAGCTGTAGTGTTTGTGAGAGTCACAGGAATCTTACTTGAAGCCTTACAGCTGATATCCATTAGTGCACACTCAATAAAAAGCCCACCAGGAAGAGATGAAACTTCACAGGGCTCAAGAACAAAGAATCTGTGTGAATTTGCTTTTCCAATCCTGACCTCTCCAGCTACAACCAGCTTTTGCCTTGCTGGAACGGTGATGGGGTGTCTTCCGTGTAATTAAACAGGGCAAGCTTTGTTCTCATTCTTTAGCACTTGGGCCGTATGTTGGAGGAGTAGGGCAAAGTTATCTGATCTTCTGAGGAACCTTGTCCCATCATGACCCACCCCACGTTGGTAGAGCTGGAGTAAAACATTTGTGTCCACCAACAATGGTGTCCTGCTGTTAAATAGACACTCTGGGACCACAAGGGCAAGAGCGGTCACTTTTTCCTCTGCGCCAGTTACGCTGTCGGGAAAGGTTATTGGAGGGTCAACATAGCCCAAATAAGGAACAGATTGGCCCCCAGCCCCTTCAACTTCAAGTAGATGGCTGAGGGGTTGAACAGCAAAGGACGGCAGGTATTTGGAGAGGAAAGTCTCTGTAATGGTTGTAACTTGATATCCGGTATCAAGTATGGTTTCACATTTTATGCCTCCTACACAAACTGTGGAAAGGCAGTGGGGACCAACAAGTCCCGCGGGTAAGCCATCAACCGGCAAGCAACTT